AACCTATAGGTTGCCATATTTATTCATTTCGCGCCGGATAAGGAAGGGATTTCTCAAGATGGTTAATTTGTCCCTCTGTTATAAACTCATTTTCCCTCCAAGAGAAATGGCAGGAATATCTGTCAATGGTGTATTTGAATATTTAGATTGTTTTTCAATAGTCAACTCTCAAATATGAACGATTAGACCCTCCAGGGGCCGTCCATAAATTACGTAAGACATTTAGGGGGGAGGGGGGTCAGCAAGATCTTACGACCAATAGGAAAAATGGCGCTAATGTGTGTAAAATATCTTACGAAGGGGGAGGGGGTGGGTCAAATTTACCCAAAAAATGTCTTACGTAATTTATGGATAGCCCCCAGATGTTTAGTCCAATCCTCCAGCAACGGTTCTGAAATTTCGCCAGAGTCGTAATCACCTTTGCGCCTATGATGCGAACATAATTTTTTGTCCTAACTGCATGGAAAGTATAGCATTGAGGGCACGAACGATTAAACGCTTATATTATAGTTAAAAATTAAACTCTATATAAATGTTAACTCTTTGAAGTCTATAATGATAGAAGTTTTAATAAAGAAATAAGAAAACAATGTATTTTGGAAATACAGTATTTATTTATAGAACGTAGTAATTAATAATTAAACAAAACATAATTTTTTTTAGAGAAAATCGAAAAAAATTGCACACTTTTATAGACAAAATAAAACAAGGTGAAAATGTTTGCATTTTTATAGTCAACATAAAAAGAAAGTCGAAAATGTCGTATTTTAAAAAAGAAAATCGAATAATTAACACGCGGGCGCAAAATACTTTTCCGCCCGCTCGGAGGTAGGGGATGCGGGCGGAAAATACTTTACCGCCCTCTGACGTCACACAAGCGGGCGGTATAGTATATTGTTTACCTAGGGAGGAAAATAGTGATTTTCCCGAGGGTGAAGTTTGTAGTTCGAGACGTAGCGAGCGTACGAGCCGAAGGCGAGTTCGAGCAAAGTCGAGAACTGCAAACACACGAGGCGAAAATCATTTTTCTTCCGTGGTGCACATACTATTTTTTCTAACACATGTATATGAAATACAAATATGCAATTATTTAACGAAATTTTTCGAAATAAATACTATTAATTTTATAATGTCAATTTATTATTAGATTATTAGAAACAAATATTCATAATACTGATTATATTGAGATAAGAATGTTTGACAATTAAAAATAATTGAGGCCTTGGATCTAATAACTCACCCGACGCTCGGAGGAACGCGCAACTGCCAGTCAGTGAGCAGTGAGCGCCTCTGGGCCACTCACTGCTACCCGACTGGTATTAGCGCGTGCCTTCGAGCGTCGGGCGAGTTATTGGATCCAAGGCCTCAATTATTATTAGATCATAGTAAGAAAAGTAATTATTTGACAATACTGAATTTATCGAGATCAGAATGTTTTAAAATTTAAAAAAATTATTAATTAAAAAAATAACAATTTTATACATATTTAATCTTAAAAAATATATAGCTCTTTTTATATTTTGCATTTATTAAAAAAAATTACAAATTATTGTAGCAGCAGGAAGAGAATATTACACTCTCTCCCCGTGATGTCACAGCGGGGAGGGAAAGTATTACTTTTTCTCCCCGTTATGACGTCACATGGAGGGAAAATAGGTGATTGCGACGATGGCGAAATGAAGGGACCGAGGTCCCGAAATTTCGCCAGAGTCGTAATCACCTTTGCGCCCATGATGCTATCATAAGTTTTTGTCCTGCATAGAAAGTATGGCATTGAGGGCACGAACGATTAAACGCTCATATTAGTTTTATTTTTATTTTTGCTGGGGCTATTTTGTGCATCAAAATGCTTTTTTTAACTCAGTGATTTATTCAAATTCAGAATTAAAAGAAAATCAACTTTTGCTTATGTTATACTTCCTTCTGAAGGTTTCCTATGAGTTAGTCAATAAAATAAATTTTTTTTTCGGAGTTGTAGTCATTAAAAGTTGTGCACAAAATAGACCCCGGGATGGGGCTACTTTGTGCATTGATCTTTCTGTTTTTATAATGTTACGTAAACATTTTTTTGATTCTTTCTTATTCATTAAATCTTTTGTGTAGATATTTCAGAGTAAATTTAAAAAGAATAAGATATTAAACAAAAAATTTTGTAAATATTATACAACAAAATGCAAAATAAAACATTAAGATTTTGCTAAAATCATGATTTATTAAAAATTAACAACCTTTCTTCAAATTTTATATTACTCAGAAAATAAATAACACTTTTTCTTTTTAAATATAGGGGAGGTGGGGGCGAAGCGACGCAGTCAACATTTCTCGAGTACAATAACGTTTAATTTTTTAAAAAATATATTATTAATTGCACCTTTTTAACCTTCATAATTGGTGGCAAAACAAATTTTATTTTATTAACTTATAAGCGTTTGACAATAAATAATGTGTTTTTGACCTCTGGGCATTTAGTTTTTCGAGATAACAGATATCAAATTTTTTGCCACTTATTTTTGCTACTTGGAATTAAAAGTATGTGCTTTGGAAAGTTTAATACCAGTACTTTTAAGAACTATAAACAATTTTTGGATTTTACGTTTAGAAATGAAGATATATAATATTTTGAAATAAAAAATGTACCTTGGGGCGAAGCGACGCATTCTTGAGGGGGCTAAGTGACAGCGGTACCAAGACGCATCAAGAGCCGACGAATGGCGGTTTTTAAAAAAAGTTATGAAGAATTAACGACAGACTCTGAATAAAGCTAAAAAACATTTTTCTCATGTTTAAAAAATATTTTATATTTTTATTATTTAATTTGATTTGAAAATTATAATTTAAAAATTATTAAACTTTTATTTAATTAACAAATATTTAAATAAACAATAAATTTACAATAATCTTCTTTGTTTATTTACTTTTAGATAAGATAATTCGTTTAAAATGCAGGTAATTTTGAGTGCGTCGCTTCGCCCCACTATTTTCGTGGTTAGAAAATTGTCTATAACTTTTTTCAGGTTTAGCCTATCAACAAACTATACATTAACAAAAGTTGCGTTATGTCTTGATACGTCATATCATACAAGTTAGAACTCAAAATATAATCGGGATTAGAAAATATTTTAAAATGAAGAAAAGTGCGTCGCATCGCCCCCACCTCCTCTACATTTTACAATAATACATTATGATAATTATAATACTAACTATCATTTGAACACATGTAAATAACTTTGAATCTCATCATTTTAATAGGAGCTTTTTTAAACGTTTTGAATATGATATTTTTAAAAAACTTGAAATTAATATTTTAAGGTTAAAGGAATAACAATTTAATATCTAATACACTTTTAAAGTTATTAGAGAAACGAGAGAAATAGTTTTAAAACTAATTTGAAAAACTTATAAATATTAATTAAAGTTAATTTTTTGCCGTTATGTTCCTCACCGGTTGAAGTTTTAATCGTTTTAAGGATTTTAATTAAATTATTTTTGGTTTTTTGACAAAGAAGTTCTTTTTAATAATTTTATTTATTAAATATACCTCGTACATAAAGTAGCCCCAGTTGATGGCAGTATTATTCAATGCATAGGGTGGTCAGCTCCGTGGCAGCCAATTTTCGAAAATTTGTTATAATTTTTTTATAATTATAGCTGTAGTAAAACCGTTCAAATTACAACTATATTATGCCCTAATGATGAGGAAAAGTGATATTTAACATTAAAAAAACAAAATTTTTTTCTTTTAAAACTGATCTTGAAATTGCACAGTTACGTGAAAAACATCCAGATGTGTTTTTGAGGTTGGGTTCGATAGATTTAATATTTTATATGAATTTTCAATTGAAAAGCTTATAGAATAGTTTATTTAAATTAAGGGATCTTATAGAAAATTAGAAATATGCGGTTAGATTCAATTTTGATAATTCAAAAGTGACCATTTTAACGATTTTAGGGTATTTTTTGAGTTTAGAGCGAAACCAGGACCCATTGGCCAAATTCTGATGGCGAATTCGGAATCAGTGCATCGAAATACATCGGAATACTCTCGACTCCAGATCAAGATACTTTTTTTTTGTGTGGCTGTGTTATTAATTACTACGTTCTGAATAAACAAATACTATATTTCCAGAATACATTGTTTTCTTATTTCTATATTAAAACTTCTATCTTTATAGACTTTTAAGAGTTTAATTTTTAACTAATATGAGCGTTTAATCGTTCGTGCCCTCAATGCCATACTTTCCATGCAGTTAGGACAAAAAATTATGTTCGTATCATGAGCGCAAAGGTGATTACGACTCTGGCGAAATCACCTTTCTTGCGCCCTTGATACGAAAATAAATATTCTGAGGATTTTCCAAAGTCCCATAATCCATTTCGAGATATTATTATAATAAATATACCTAGCAAATTTTAGCCAAATTCGTTAAAATATCTTCGAGTTATCGTGTTTACAAAAAACGGGATCTACACATACATACATCCGGACAATTGTTGAGGGTCTTATATGACATAGTCCTATATAGAAGAAAATTTTTTTATAAGGATTTTTAAAAATTTTATAAATTAGACGACTACAAAGTTTCCTCCACGAGGAAGCAAAAAATTAACTTCTGAATAAAGATTTTATACCTTCTTTGTATCGAGTTAACTAAAAACAAATTAAATTTGTGCACCATTTGAGCTGTTTTAAAGTTGATAAAATTTTTCAAACAAATAGGAGTAACATCAAACTGTAAAAATTGCAACATTAACGTATATATTAGATTCAGAATGTTTTTTTCAATAGAATTATATTTAAATATACTATAATATCTTACATTGTATGCAATTGATTCTATTTCTCTTTTTGTGATGGGAAAACCCATATTACTAAACCAAAGTTTTATTCCATTTACAACAGTCACTGCTTTAAATTTTAAATCATTTTCAAACCAACTATTGACAATTTGTGATCTCAATTCCATTTTTAATTTAGTAAGTAAATCTGATAGCTAATACAGTTATAAAATCGTTAATATTCAAAATTTGTAATTATGATAAATAAGGTATCGTTATATGTATATGTCCATCCACATAAAAAGGGCTCAATTTTTCCATCTAATTTGAAAAGATTCTATAAGGATACAATCCCATGTGAGGAGAATACGTCGACCGAAAGCAGAAAATCATGACTGCAAAAGAGATAGATTGATATTGTTGTTCTTTTCACTCTCATGATTTTCTGCTTTCGGTCGACGTATTCTGCTCACATGGGATCGCACCCTAAAATTGGTTCCGATTTTAGATTTTTCTTCTATTGTTGAAAATCGAACAAGAAAATAATCATATTTATAAATAAGTCCAAAGTGGGCCTTTTCATACGTACGTACACATATCTTAACTTACAAAAGAAAATTTTCTAGAAATATTATTCTTAGACGCCAGAATATTATAATACCCAGTGGATAATGGCATTCTGAGGATGCAATTATTCGATCTATTTTAAAAAAGATTCTTATTCAATGTCTTATCATAAATTAATACATAAAAAACACTTGCACAGAGAACCTGTTTTTTTATTTAAAATTAATAATGCATTATGTGTTAAACAAAAAAATGCAATAAACATTTGTTTCAGTTAAAAAAAAGGAATAAACTTTCAAATTCAATTAAATACTATATATTTAATTTAGAACAAAAAATTTAAAAATTAGTTTATTATTTTGAAATTAAATATTCACAACATACACAACTCAGAATGTATAAAACTTTAGCCTATTGCCTAGTGTAACGCAATGTAATACATTGCGTTACGTTAGTCAATAGGCAAATGTTTATTTTAATAAAATACTTATATTGGTACCTTTCAATAAAGTTCATTTTGTTCAACATCTTGTTAACATAAAACTTTATATTTTCATCTTCTTCAAAGTAAACCGCAAATATTGAACTAAAAGATGAATATTATTAATTTTAAATATAATACAATATTAATTTTCTGTTTATAATTATTATAAATAATTATAATTAATTATAATTATGAATTATAATTATGAATATTATTAATTTAAAATATAATACAATATTAATTTTCTGTTTATAATTATTATAATTAATTATAATTAATTATAATTATAATTATAATTAATTATAAATTATAATTTATTATATATTTCCCAATGATGATCCGGAATTCAGACTAGGCCATAATAATTTTATTATATTAATATAATGTTAATTACAACAAATATAATTACCAATTACGTCGTTTGTTGATGAACTTAATACTTCACATATTGATTTCAAATAGGACCAATCAATATATATGTTGTGCAAATTTGTAAGAGAATCACCAGAAGGACCAGCAAGTTTTTTAAGAAAACTAAACCAATTTATCTAAGACATAGAAAAAGCATTTTACTAATTTTCTGCTGTTATAGCCGCCAAAATTAATTAATTTTTTGTCAAAAAAAGAATAAAAGATAAAAACATTTATATTTACCTGCGTTGTAGAATTTAAAAAGGGGCAAGATTCATTATACATTTTTTGTAATCTGTCAATAGTAACTGGAATTAATGGTAATTCTCGCTTACGTGTTTGCTGTAAATTAATTATAGACATTATTTTTTAGTGAAAAGATTATAATATAAAACTTAATAAATAAAACTGATCATAAATAAATACCTATATAAATATAAAAGTACAGTAAAGTATAAAACTTATCAAAAAAACGTAATATATTACCCAAGATATAAGCTCAACAAAATGTTTAAAATCTGCCTTTAAGGAAGCATTTAAGGATTGTTTTTTAATTAACCCTAAATAACGGGACTTATTTTCCAAATATATATCAATATGTTTTCTTATCATATTAAATTCGTATTTGTTTGATTTCGTCTGAGATGGTCTAATAATCTGAATAAAATTATTTTCTTTGTAAATTAAAATTGTCTTATGAAAGGAAACATTATATAACTGTATATTCTAAATTCTAAATTATAATATTAATTCCAAAAATTATTCAACAAAAACTTTATCTTACTTCCAATTCATTCTTGTGGCCTAATGTAACATGAAAAAAAGAAATTTCACCAATTTTATCAGCAAAATATTCAGCTACATCTTGCCAATTTGGACCTGCTTTCTTGCTTTCTTTAACAATATGTTTGTACAATTTTCTCCCTTCTTTCAACGAATAATCTGTAGTAAGTAAATAACAATGAAATAATATATTTTAAGCAACAAGAGGATAGGCGCCCCGAGACCGATACGAGTGTCACAAAAATCATCGTAAAGAAATTGGCTGCCTGTATTCTCGTGTTACTTACGATATTTTTTATTCCACAAAAGTGTCGATTGCAGATAGCAGACGACAGGGAGTAAAAGTCATTCACTTGTTCGACTTGTATGAAAATGGCGGCCGTTTTTTCCCATGGGCAAGAAAAACGCATGGAAACAGCTGATTTTCTTTCCCATGGGAGACCACGGCCGCCATTTTCTTACGGTCAAAGAAATGAATGACTTTCCTCCCTGTCGACTGCTATCAGAAAGCGCCATTTTTATGCATGTGGGATAGAAATAATATAAAATTCTACTACAACAAAATTAGCATATTAATTTGTTCACAATAGTTCAAAGCAACAAACAAGTTTTCACTTTTAAACACATTACTTTATGTAGGTATTTGTATTCTTGTATTTATTTATTTACACGCTTACCTACATCCATGCATGCATCATAGTATGCCCTTTCCTTTGAAAGTAATGGTTTATTACCATATTTATTACGATCTTCTAAAATACCTAGAATTAAAAAGCAGTAATTTACAAGTTAAATGAGACGAATATTATACACAACAAACGAATAAAATTATTTTTGATTTACCTCTAATCTTTTGCGTTATGATTTCCTTTGACATGTGATGAATATTCCAAACAAAAGAATGATTAGGTTTTGGATAAGCTTTATTCCAATTACCACAAACGTAGTCATAAAAATTTTCACACGGATCTTTGTTATAGTCCATCGCTTCGTCTAGAACTTCAGCTATAAAAGCATAATTAATTAATGTGATAATATATAAATAAATAAGTTTTATTTAGTGAATTTGTAATGAAAAAACTAGTACTAAATAAAACTAAAATTACTTAATCAAATTTGATGTCTTTCTAATAGAATGTAAGAATCAAGTATTTAAGAGATAAGAGTGTAAAATATTAGTTATACAGACACTTTTTAATTTTTTGAAAACCATTTTGCCTAGCTCTGAAAATTATACATAATTACCAAGTTCATTTAAAGTGAAAACGGCTTCACTGTAATAAACTACTGTCAATGCAGGTCTGGAAATAAATAAATTTTAATTTAACCATCAACTTACTGCGATAACGATAACTAAAAATAAAATAATATCAAAATCAAAATTTCATTAATTTTACACATATTGACCATAGAGTGGCCTAGCTTCTGTCCATATTCATATTTTTTAATCTAATATGGCTAGGATTTGAAGTTAGGCCAAAGCCAGGGTTGCCTTCAACCCACAATAAAGTATCAGCAGATATCGTAAATTTTTTAAAAATCGATAGAATTAGATTAAAAAAAGCTTAAAAATTTTTTAAATCTGTAGATTTTTAAAGCAAAGTGTCAGTAGAACTACAGATAAATCAGTAGTTGTGGCAACGCTAGCTAATGCCTAGAAAAGTGCCAAGTTCCACGTCCATCGGTCAAGTTGCTTTTGCATGAATCACGGTCGAAATTTTTTGGACAGGCATGTATATACATATGTACATATACATATATATACATAAAAAATATAATTTTTTATTAGTGTTTTCCGTATTTTCGGAACATTTAGGTAAAAGGAAAAAGAAATATTAAAAACTTTCAATTTTATATACAATATGCATACAAAAGTATAATCTTATTTATAAGTCCAGATAACAAACGTGCGTCGCAGATTATCCTCGCTCTATCCCAAATGCAAATTTTGGTCGGCCGCCACAGTTGTAGATGGGATGGTGGGAGCACGACAATCGCAACGTCGCTGCGATTTTGCCTCCATTTGGAACCGCTGTGAGAACTGATTATCGGACCAACTTTCGGTCACAGTTGGGCAAACGATCCGATGAACTGTGGCCACCAATGATGAGAAAACCTACTTTTTGATGGTCGACCCAACCGTCAGCCACAGTTGGGCCAACGGTCGGGTAAACTGTGGTCGATTAAATTGTGAAACCAATTTTATTATGGTCGGCCCAACCGTCAGCCACAATGGGGCCAACGGTCGGGTAAACTTTGACCGCTAAAGTTGAGAAACCTACACCAGCCACAGTTGACGAAAAACAAATGTTGAAATTCGACAAGTGCTTCATGATTTTAATTTCAATGAGTCTGACGAGGTTTTAAATGATAAGATCTCATTGGAATACAAGTAAGTATATATCAGAGATCATCCATAAATTTCGTAGCACCAAATTGTAATTAAAAAATAGTCGTATTTTGTATTCTGACTCTCTAGAATTCACACCCAGAGAAAAATATTATTTAAAGCAAATATATTTTATATGAGTTAAATAGATGTATATTTGTCTTAAAACCAATTCAGGGTTGCCACAAAAATTTAACTTTGTTTTTCCCTAACTTTTTCCTGATTTCTAGACAGAATTTTGACTTTTTCCATGACCCTAAAGAATATTCTGATTTACTCTAAAAATTACTCAGAAAAAGGTTTTAATACATTTATTTAAAACTTTATTTAATTATAAAATTTTTCGAAAACAACAATAACTTCTTTGTTAAATAATTATATTTAATCATTACTATTTTCCTAAAGAAATTAGGATTTACTTTAACTGCTTCGAAATTATTTTCATTATTTAAATTCAATTATTTTTCTAAAATTCACGTAATAATGCTTTTATTATTAAATTATTGTCTACAATTTTAACGGAAATTCAATTCTAAATAATTTTTTTTAGAAAATTCTACGAGAATTCATTTATTTAAAAAGAAAAATAAATAATTTATTTATTCAATAGCTCAGCCCCACAAAAAAAAGTGTCGTGTACTTTTGACCGGAGTACCCTAGCCCTATGTATTTTGACGCGCTGAACACGAATCTGAAGTCCGTTTTGCTCAATCACGTCAGGATTTTTTCTAACCTTAAAAAACATGTCGGATTTTGAGAGGTAGGCAATTTTTTTTAAATTGATGGATTTACTTCAAGCTAGGTATCTCGGGTTCTTTTGGGTCGCTGATTACGAATCCGAAGTTAAATTTTCAAATTTAAAAATGTCGGCTCCAATATGGCGGATGAGTTTTTAAAAAATATTAAGGTTTACATCAAATTTGGTATCTAGGGGTTTGTGAAGTCGCTGATTGCAAATTTAAGACAGATTGTCAAAATTTAATGTCAGTTCTGAAATATATAACTTTCCTTTATTCCCTATTACGGTAGCGCACTCTTTTGTTTTCAAAAGATCTGTGTAGCGGTTTTCTCTTTAAGTTCACACCACCTGGTAAAACATCCCTTTTCAGCATCCAGCAAAAGTCGGCCATCATATTTACGCTCCATCTTCCTTGTTAACGACTTTCCATTTCTTTAAGGTCTTGATGAAATCGCTCTCCATGTTCCTCATTGTAGTCTTCTAAATTTTTCGAGAAGTACTTTAGATGTGAGTGTAAGAAATGTAGCTTCAAGCTCATTAGGGCATCCTTGCTTTCCGAAGGTTGTTATCATATTATTTGCCATTTCTTCCCAATTCTCGCTTTTGTTATTCCTCAGAAAATTTCAACAATTAATTTAAAACTATTAGTATTCTGAAGTAATACTGCTTTTAAGCTTCTTTTAGAAGAGTCTATGAATAACCTCCAATCTTCATCTTTATATACACCAGGTTTTAATTGATCCATTAACCCATCAACGTCAGAACAATATACCGATGAGACTGCTTTTTGTCTTCTGTAAAATATTTTCTGAATTCCTTTTCCCTATCGCGATAAAAGGAAGCTGTAGTTCTTTGCGATAGAATTTTTTTTCTTTTTAAGAACTGATGCAAGATATTCTGCACCATCTTTTGGTAGTTTTAAATCGCTGATGAGATTGCTGAGTTCTTCTTGTGTGAACTTTTTAGGTATTTCTTCTGCCTGTTCACCAGTTGAGATGTATAAATCATCTTTGTCATCAACACTCATGTCGTCATCTATATCACTAAATACATTATCTAATTTTGAACAGTCGACTTCAAAATTCTTTGAAGAAGAAGGTGTATCACAGAAAATTTCTGCTTTGTTACAGTTATCATATCAGCGTACAATATTTTTCCTTTATTCTTGTTATTATAACCTTCTACATTGGTCATGCAAAAGTAACAATCTTCTTGTTTCAATGGTTTTTTCCACAACATTGGTTTTTTAAATTTAAGATACTTATCCTCTTTAGTATTATTCCAACGAGTTAACATTATGTGACAGGATAAGCAAATTTTGTGTGAAACCCAATTTTCATTTTGATCGGCTATCTCAAAATCAAAACAATCCTTGTAAATTTGTCTAGTATTATCACTGATTGGTTTACAATTCTTTGGAACATCAAACTGTCCACATATATAACAAAATGCATCTGTATTGCTATTGCATATGTGTTTTGACGTTAACGCTTTAAAATTAATTTTTGAAGCATTTGAAGTTTTTGTGTTGTTTTGATTTTGAAAAGCTATGATTTATTAAATAACCCGCACGTTAGGGATCCTGGTCCGATCGCAGGCGAGTCCACCGTCCTAGGGGGTGATAACTCTCATACCTGCCCAGGCCTAAGTATGAGAGCTTTCCGACTTTGAAGCAGAGTCTATACAATGAGAGAAGGTGCGCATCGGTGTTCGGGGCAGTTGTCATCACCTACTAACTTTATCGAAGAAGCAGGATTCAAATTGTGCCAAAGCTCAATAAGAACGTTAGACATAGATTGACAATGATATATTTAAAGAAAACTTACGTAAAAACGTCATTTTTCAAAAATCTGTATCTCCTGAACCGCTTTATGAAAAAATTTTTAAAAAATCAAGGTAGCTTATTTCAAAGAGTACTAAAAGAAAAAAATATTTTAAAAAAATTTGAGATGCAAAAGCAAAATAATTTCCGATTTGGCGTGGAATGCCCTATAGATAACTTGCAGTTAACTTTAAAAATCGGGTTAATTTATCTTTTTTAACATAATTAAATCAGAAATATAAAATAATTGTTATTTTAAATAAACAAGAAATTAAAAAAATATAATTTTCTCAATTTTTTTGTTTAAGATATTCTTTTTAACAAAAATATTTCAAATTCGAGTTTTTAGAATATTTTTATGTTTCTTGATATCAGAAATTAAAAAATCACATTATAAATATCTCTAAACTATAAAAAATTGATTTTGAAAGTCTCCATAAGGTATCAAATTTTTCATGAAATTAACACAATAAATTTATCTTTTAACTTGACAGAGGTTTTTTGCCTTTTTTAATAACTAATTTAAAACAATAGGTACCTAATTTTCATTAGACCTTTTTGATTATAATTATTTTAGCACTAATAAATGATTCAGAATAAAATGACTGTTAAAAATGTATTCCTACCAAAATTGTATGTAAATAAAATGTGTGCTTGTAATTTAATAATGTATAATTTATCACGTTATATCTTGGTTCTAGAAATCTGCTAAACTAAGTTCCAAAAACGTTCTATAAACGTTCTTAGTATGTTTAATTTATTTTTCTCCGAACGTTTTTAAAACATAAAAAGACCAGACATGAAACGAACTTAAAACGTTTTAATAAAATTCTTTACATGTTTTAAAAACAATATAATGGACGTTTTAATAACGTGCATTAAAAGTCCTAAAAACATCTTAACGTTGGGTAAGACTCCGTCAGAAAAATTACAATTTGCATGGGGTCTACGAATTATTCTGTAATTTGGTGAAGTTGTTATATTTGATAACAAAAATAAGTGTACCAAAGGATTTTTAAAAATTTTAAAAATTGTAAAAGTTACGCCATTTTTAATTTTTTTATAAGATTTTTTTCAAATGTGAATATTTCCGAAACAACTTAACGGATTTTAATGAAATTTAAATGTGTTATACTTAAAATCATGTCCTTTCAGAATTTTTCAAAAGAAAACAAAATTTTTTGTTTTTTTCAAAAGAAAAGTAAAAAAAAATTTTTGAATCAACTTATTAAGCACGGGACCGATTTTTAAGTATTTTTTGATATATAATAAAATATTCCTTATAATTTCACCTTTCATTTACAAAAAAACAATGGAGACTTCAATAGTTTTCGAGATATTGCAATTTTTG